CTGAAGCAGAGCAGCTGGTGTTCCAAATAACACACCTTCCTATGCTAAACTTATAAAGCTTAGAGTGTTCATCACTGGTTGCCTAATAATGCCGAGGTCTTTTGTTTGATTCCTGAGAAATGATGGCTTTTATGTGGGGGTTTGCCTGTCCAAAACACATGGACTCAGGATCATGATAACCTGGGACTAACTGAAGACTTTGTGGTCTTAGGTGTGAATGTTTGTATTAACTGTCTTCTCCTAAGCACCTTCGACACTCCAGGCAGAACAACGTGGTTTAAGATTTAATGAATATGACAGTTTATTGTCTGTTTATTGGATACAATAAACAGACAATAAACTGTCATATTCAACGTGCTTCCTTTTCCAGGAGTCACCTACATCTGCATTTGTGGGATTTCAAAGATTAACTCTGAACCTCGTGTGACTTATAAAATAAGTATAAAATAATGAATTGTCTCTCACCTCCAGAACACTCGTGTTTCTCTCTGGGCTGTACTGGGGTTTGCTTCCTTCATACACCCGCTGCTCCCTAAGGTTTAACATGGAGAGGAGCTCCAAGCACTGTCGACCAAGAGCTGTAAAAACACATGCACGTGCATGAAAATTAGATTGAACTTTTATTGATCCCAACCTGGAAATTGTTGTACTACAGCAACAAGGGGAAAAAGACTGTCAAGTAAAAAATATTAATCTTTTCTTGTGGTCATTAGTTACCAGAGTTTTCTGCTCGCAGCTCCTGAAACTCACTCTCTCTTTCCTGCAGGCTGTTGATCAGAGTCTTGTTCTCCGTCAAAAGTCTGATCATGACAAGTTCATGTTGGGTCAATGTAACGTAGCATTTAATAAGGATAATCAGCAAAAATGTACTGACCATCAATTTGATTATGGAGAAAAGGGTAAACATACTGTATATATATATATATATTATTTTATATATTATTTTATATATTTATATTATTTTTCTATTCTAAACAAAAACCTAATATAATATTAAATAAAAAGAAATACTGGCACATAAGATAATGCTGGTGATATTTATATATTAGGGTTAGGGTTCAGCCTTCAGTAACGATACATATACAGAATATTTTGTGCAGTTCTAGAGAGGATGTCGAGAAAAACTCTGACCCATTGTATTTCTGCTCCCAGGACTGTTCAGCCTTCTTCATCTGAAGCTGACTGAAGCTCAGCTCCCACTGCAAACTGTTCACCTCCTGCAACACAATACAAAATTCACACTTCAAAAATAATAGTAGTAGTGTAGTGAAATAAATGTTAAACAAATGTGTTTTTTAATTCAAGGTGAAAATAAGTGCTTTTCTTCAGGACATTAATGATATTCCTTGTATTTTTGTATAGGTTATCAGTCATTAACAAGCTCGTGCACACAGCCAACCTGGCCAACAAGAAACTACTAAAAGAAACCAGGTCAGTCCAGTTGCCTTCAACTTAACAGCACCGATTATTCCATGTGACATTTTTTAAAATCCATGAACATTCCAGAATAATGACAACAGTTGCCATTCATAAACATGTAATGACGTGAAGTCTAGACCACTTCATAAAACATGCTTTTTTCTATATTTCAAAAATCCATCAACAATGCCTGGAATATCTTTTACTCTGTGCGTGTTTACCGTCAGTGTAATTGAATAAATTAGCGCTCTGTCTATCAGAGACCATTAGCTTAATAAATATTAGAAAGAGAACAGTTAGTTCATGACACAAACCTGCTGCAGACTGTTAGAATAAACAGACCAAGCCTTTATTTGAGCAAATCGTAAGAGAAGGAGAAAAACCACCAACCTTTTCCAGAGCTTTGGCTCTCTCGTCGCTTTTCAGCAGCAGACTCTTGGTGTGAGTAGTGGCCTTGTCCAGAATGGCCTACATAAAAAAAACTTATCTCACATTGATGAATGATGCTTTCGGACAAAATCACCTTGTGGGTACAATGAAGAGCTGTGTACACACCTGCATACCTGTATGTGCTGTACACAGGTGAACGTCAGAAAATATCAATATGTTCATGCTATCGTGCACACACACCGTTGTTATTTTAGGATTCAACATTTAGATTGAAGTTATAATTGGATTTAGGTTTATTCCTAAGCTTATGATGAAACAAATATTTGTAATCATAATGGTTAGGGCAAGAGGCCAATGCATTACATCAATGTGAAGTGTGTGTTTGTCTTCTTTAACCTTTCCTTGGAGAATCTTTAGAGCCTGATATTTGCCCTCCAGGTAACGGTGTGCCACCTCCAGCTCACAGCACAGCATATCTATCACCTGCCCACACGGTACATCAGTCATCATACACTTACTGCACTTGACATATATTTATTTTTGAACTTCCTACCTCACTCGCCTGACGCAGTCTGTCTTTCAGCTCGTCCTTGGACAGGTCATTCAGGGATCCTGCTGAGTGAGAGTTTGTTTATATATTAGGTCAGTTACCTGTAGCCACCCCACTACATGTCCACTAGCCCCCTGTTCCATTCAACCTCTTGCAATCTGTATCCCCTACTGTCACAGCTGCAATCACACGTTATTAACGCTTCACTCAAATCAGGATATTTTTCTTACTTTGTTTAGGTTACATCGCTGCTAAAAGAACACTGCCTTGCTTTCACTGTAATCCTTTTTTAAGATCACTGAGAGGGCAGTCTTCAAAGAAGTAACAGAATTTCTGAAACCTCATCAACTCCAAACGATCTGGCTTTGAAACCGGACACTCCACTGAAACGACTGTTGTCTGTGACAGAAAACTTGATAGATTCCAAAGCAGCTGTCAAGTCCTCTATACTCATTTTGCTGGACTTTAATGATTTAATGTTTATATTTTTATTAATGCATATATTTATATATTTAATGTTTTCAATATAGGCAGATCAATTTAGCCTGATCATTACAATAGTAGCTCAAAAAAGTGTGGACACTCTGTGTTAATTCTGAAATGACTAAAATAGTTAGTGACCAAATCAATGTAACTATAGATACATGAGTATGTGTGTGTGTGTGTGTATGAGTGTGTGCATGTAAGCACGATGTCTGGCGTCATTCACCACTGTTTGTCATCCTGCTGTATTCTTTGTTTGTATTTCCACCCGTCATCACACAGCAGCTGCTGTCTGACCATATTGTGTCTGTGAGCTGCTTTTTGATGAGCTGCTAAATAAACTCTGACTTTATCAAAGCTTTGTTACAAAAAGCATTGTGATCCAGGACAATTCAGAAGTAGTCATCAAATATCAACCAGAAATGTAGGAATGTACACATATTTTTTGTAGGAATAGCAAACATGGTGGCAAAAAGAACTACATATTTTGCTTCATTAAGCTGTGATCATCAATGAATAAACCTTGTGTGACTGACAGCTAGACAATCCAATAGGTGATACAATATAAAGTTCTCACCGCAGTGTGGAATTTTCCAGCTAGCTTTCTGCTGAGACTTTGAGATCCAGGCCATCGCTTCTTCAGAGTTGCAGCATCCCAGCTTTGTTTGGGAAAGTGTCCCCTCTGTGAGGCCACCTAAGCTTTGGGTCTTCCTGCTGGAGGAACTGTGGGTTTTTCTGAGTTCCGTCCCATCACCTAGGTCTCCGTCCACCATGTCATCTTCCAGGCTGAGGCCTTGCATCTGAGGCTGCTTGGATACTGAACCAACAACACAGAAAAAAAAAACAGAAACATAGTCAACAACCAGAAATGGCAAATCAATTTAAAGACAAATAAAACCAAGAACAATTTAAAACGTGTAAGACTTTTGACCTGAAAATAAAAAACTAGCTAAAGCTTTATAAAAGATAATGTGCAGTAAGAATTCTATTATTCGAATATTCCAAGAAATTGGCAGACATCTTCACAACTCAGCATTTAAAAATTTAAAAAACACATAAAGAGTTATTACCATTGGCTAAAAAATGCTAAATTGTGAAGCCAACATAGGTTATTACTTAAAATAGCATGAAGTTTGGCCAAAAATAAAATAACAATGAAATAGCCAAAAAGTAAATGAATTATAATGAATTATCTATAAATAGTTTAAATAATATGGATCTTGCAGGACTTCTTTATAACACATTACTACAGTTCTTGGAACTGGGAAACGTTTTGTTTGCTTTTCCTTCCTTCTACAATTTTGCGACCTTTAACAGTTCATCTCTCATATTAAACTCGTCTTCGTGTTTTCGTAATGATATATTCACAAGAAACAAACCTTTAGGTTATTGTTAGGAAATCAAACCATTAAAACAATTTAAACATCCGTTCTACAGTTGGCTGTGTACAGCTGCTTCATGAAGTTAAAATAGCATCATAAGATCTACTTCCTCGTACCTTTAACTGGAACTACAGACGTCCCTGGAGTTTGGTTCTCTTCCACTGACATGTGTTTTGCAAGTTCAGTTAAAGTCCAAAATAACTTCACTCATATTCCGTAGTGCCTTTTTCACATTTGTCAGTGTGGCTTTGCTGTGTTTTATTGGTTGGGACTCCAGCTGTTCTTAGTTTACGTTCCAGTACTGCGACTGGAAAAACTTACTCCAGTACACAGCGAGCAGCCACGTCCGGTCTAATTTTCAAAATAAAAAATGCTTTCACTACAGTAATGTACAAAACATAAAAATAAATAAATAAATAAAATCAGAAATATTGCGTTGATCGATGAAGAAGCTCATCCTGCGAAATCATTCCAAGAAATGTAAGTTATTCATGATGGGTTTTTATTACTATTATTATTATTTATAATAATTATAGTGTATCCTATAATTGCAGGTCTGATGTGTAACATTGTTGAGAAAAAAAGTCTTTGGAAGCAATTTTATAACATTTAATATGCTACTGCGGCTCTTAATTTGAAAGTCCTTTGGGAACTCTCACGATGCAGACAGTTAGTCGGCGCTCACCTCAAGGCCCATTTAAAAAGGCTCCATATGTAAATATTGAATGAAAGGGTGTGAGTGATGATGAATAGTTAGGTAAACAGGAGCACCAACAGGTTCTCACATAATTTTATTCACATTCTTAAATAGATTTGAACTAGTCATATAACAATTGGCATTTAAAGACATAGTTCAACCAAGGGTTGAAGTGTGGTTGTGTGTGTGGCACAATCAGCTCAGTCATCTGGAACAAGGCACATTTGCATCATCACTGATAACACACATCTATCAGGGACACAAGCATGAAAAGAAAAATCTATAACGTAACAAAAAGTCCAACTAAATTTTCTTTACCGACATAAGCCTAGAACTTGAAATCATATTTACTGCTTATCTTACTGCATCAGCAGCCTCTTCCAAATAGAAACAGGAGTTTGTAAACCAATCATTCTGGTAAACCAAAGTCCATCAAGAACATTTGCATTAATGAGTTATGGGGACAGAGGAGTTCCTGCTTTTGGTTACTTTAAGTACCAGGTGTGAATCACACTGAAGAAACTTAAATGCCACAGTCACAACATGCACCTCTCAACACAGTCATAAGTAAAGTGATGTACATTACATCAGTTATTTAATGAACTTTAGGGAGTGGTTCACAAAGCAACACAAACGCCAATGTCTGGATATTTATGGTGGGTTAAGATAAATTCGTTTTGTTTAGCCATAGTTTCAGAAAAGGTAAATCAGGCACTTTATCCACAACAACACTTCAAAAGTAAAATAACTTTCATCTTCATATGGTGTTTTTTTATTATTTGTTTGTTTTCCTCAACCTGCAAGAGTGAACGAGCTATGCTCTGGACAGACAGTTCACTACAGGCTCATCAATGAATCCACAAAACAAAAACATTAGGAGACAAAGAATAACGAAGTGCTGAACATAAACACAAAACTAAATAAATACTGACAGGAGTTCAGTTCATAAAACAGAACAGCTAACTAATAGCCACTTGGTGAGATTATAAAGATTAATCCCCAGGTGCATTTTTGTAAAGCTACACAGTTACATTCACATGAGGCTTTGAAGGTGAATGGTGAAAGATGGAATGGTGGAAAATAACCTAAATAAGGCAAAAGAAAAATGTGCAACAGCATAACAGCCGTCTTAACCATCTTCACACTTTGGAAGACAAAGACATTTCATTGTCATCATCATCCTAATGAGTAAACTGGGATGATATTCTTCCTAATCTCAACATCCTGAGACAAATACATTGTGACAGTGTGTGACATTCTGGTTGATCTGTATTTGTCAGTCACTATCGTATTCTTCTATGTTCAGCTCCTCCTCCTCCAGAAGTGCTTGACTTGTTGTAGGTTGAGGCTGACTGGCTGGCAGACCCTCCTCAGATCCACCCTGATCCTCCTCCTTCACCATCTTATCTTCTTCCTCACCCTCATTCTCCAGCTGCCCTGGTTCTTTGTCTGTGAGAGCCTCCAGTTTTGTTCTGAACACAAGTGAAGGGATCAGTTTGAATGTGTTCTTTGCCAGTGTCAGTGGTACTATGCAAAAGAAAAAACCTCAGAAGAAAAAGATTGGACTGTGGAGCAGTAAAAGTAAAAATATACCTCAGTGTTTCCTACACCCCAACATACTCAGCCATTAATACACATAAAATAGACCAGAGATGTTTTTGGGAAAGGTCCAGCCATGATTTTACAGAATGGGAAAAGTTTTGTGAATGTGAAAAGTTTTGACGATGAATCACAATTAAAATGTAACTATCATCTAAGTAAAATGTAATAAATGGCAAAGGTGTGTTTATAATGATAATCAAATTTTCTACTGCACGTAACATGTTATATATATATATATACACACACACAGTGGGTACAGACAGTATTCAGACCCCTTTAAATTTGTCACTCTTTGTTTCATTGCAGCCATTTGCTAAAATAAAAAAAGTTCATTTCATTTCTCATTAATGTACACTCAGCACCCCATCTTGACAGAACAAAAACGTAGAAATTGTTGCAAATTTATTAAAAAAGAAAACCTGAAATATCACATGGTCATTAGTATTCAGACCCTTTGCTCAGTATTGAGTAGAAGCACCCTTTTAGCTAGTACAGCCATGAGTCTTCTTGGGAATGATGCAACAAGTTTTTCACACCTGGATTTGGGGATCCTCTGCCATTCTTCCTTGCCGATCCCCTCCAGTTCCGTCAGGTTGGATGGTGACTGTTGGTGGACAGCCATTTTCAGGTCTCTCCAGAGATGCTCATTTGGGGTTAGGTCAGGGCTATGGCTGGGCCAGTCAAGAATGGTCACAAAGTTGTTCCAAAGCCACTCCTTTGTTATTTTAGCTGTGTGCTTAGGGTCATTGTCTTGTTGGAAGGTGAACCTTCAACCCAGTCTGAGGTCCTGAGCACTCTGGAAGAGGTTTTCTTCCAGGATATCTCTGTACTTGGCCACATTCATCTTTCCTTCAATTGCAACCAGTCGTCTTGTCCCTGCAGCTGAAAAACACCCCCATAGCATGATGCTGCCACCACCATGTTTCACTGTTGGGATTGTATTGGGCAGGTGATGAGCAGTGCCTGGTTTTCTCCACACATACCGCTTAGAATTAAGGCCAAAAAGTTCAATCTTTGTCTCATCAGACCAGAGAATCCTATTTCTCATTTCGCTTTCATATGTCTTGCACTGAGGAGAGGC